ATAAACAGTTTCGGTGGAAATCTTTGTTTTGTTTTGTTTTGTTTTGTTTAAGGCAGGGTCTAGCTCTGGCATTCAGACTGGAGTGCAGGGATCTCACGGCAGCCTAGACTTCTCCAGGGTTAGCCTCCTAAGTAGCTGGTACTACAGGCCTGTGCCACCACATCTGGCTAATTTTTTGCGTTTTTTGTAGAGATGGAGTTTCACCATGTTGGTCAGGCTGGTCTCAAACTCCTGGATTCAAGAGATCCACCCACCTCGGCCTCCCAAAGTGCTGGGATTATAGATACGAGCCACCACACAGACCCTGGAAAGCTTTTCTGATATCTTTCCCATACTCCTGTTGGCATGAGTATTTCTGGAAAGACCACAGTTTTCTGCTTGCATCTAGCACAGTGAAAGAAGCAACATCAATTGGGTGATATTTGTGTGAAGTGGATTCTAGTCTTGACTTTGGCAATAAATAAATGAGTGATCCTGAACAAATCTCTCAGGACCTTAACTTCCTTATCTGAATCTGTATTATAAGGCAAGTGAGCATCAGGATCTATGATCTGCAGCTTGTAGGATTTCCAGCCTCCTTCTTATTTACCAATGCCCATGGCTGAGGCTGTTTGGTTCACTTCACTTTCTTGTTTCCTTCTATGCAGCAGTATCCCAACCACTCTCAAAAGAGCCAGAACCAAGTTTCTGGAGGCTGAGCAATGCCCAGTCCAGGATAGGAAGGCTTTCTTGTCATTCTTGGGATGGGGGCAGGGAAGGGGCAGGTGAAGAGACCTAAGCACCCAGGGCAAAGACTGGAGAAGAAATTGCAGTAAGAATGGATTCTGCATGCCCAGCATCTTGGAGTGGAGGGGAAGAGAAAAAAATGGAGTGAGAGCAGAGAAAAGTAGCTGGGCTAGGAGACCTGTGCTCAGGTTGGCTGGGCTCCAAGTCCTAGGGCTGTCAGTAGGAAGCTTGGATTCTTACACAATACCCACTCCTTTCCAAACCCCACAAACTCTAGAATAACCTAGCAGACTTGCTGACAGCCAATCCTGGTTTAAAAGCTCCATCACATTAGAAGCTAAGTGTAAATAATACCAAGTGAGGATTAGATCTCTTGGAGGAAAGAACAGGACAGTGTTGTGAGTCTAAAGTGGTAAGAAGCCCCTCTCCATCCTCCCTCACCAGAGGAAGAGTCTGAGAATAGAACTGGGCCCAGGAAAAGAGACCCATGGGATCTTTCCTTTTTTCCCCCAGTTGGAGCTCACGCAAGCCCACCTGGGCCCCAGTGGATTTTGTTCCCTTGGGGGTTTACCTCCATGGCTGGACTTCACACTTCCCCTGGCCCTCATTCTTCTTTGGATTGCATCCATCCCTTTCTTTTTAGCCTGGAGGCAACATCCTTTTAAGTTGGGGAGGGGAGAAAGTTACAAGGGGAGGCAAATAGGTGCCACAACTTCAGTTCCTGTGTGATTTTGCTTGGGGTAGACTGGACCTTCCTTCCATTTTTTTTAACAGGTCTAAATAAAAAACCCAACACATAAACAGTGCAGGCAGTGTTTCCCAGCATGAGGTACATCAGGTATTTTAAGGGAACACTATGCTTCTCCATTTCTTCTTAATGCCTTGAGTCTTGCTTTTCAGTCTTGGCTGATAGCTGGGAAATACGGACCTGCATATTGCCTCTGCTTGTCTTATCTAGTATTTAATTTTTTAAAAGCTCTCCTGACAAGGCAGGTAGGCTGATGTTTCCTGAAACATTCTTTACACCACTCCTCCCACAGTTAGACTTTTTTTTCTTTTAAAAAGAAAATTGTTTAAAATATATTTCTAATAGCTCATGACTATTAAAATCTAAGTGCTCTGCCCTTTCTGTTAAATCCAGGATCCTAATTTTGCTTCTCCAGGACACGATTGTATTTAGAGTTAGGGTGTTGCTGAGAATGGCAACCCCTATATCACCTACTTTTCACTTTGGGAAAACCCACAGAAAAGTTTCTCTTCGACCTAAGTGTGGAAAACCTTTTGTTTTTTTTTAAAAAACAGTACATTTTTACACGTGATAATGTGATTTTTATCACAACCATGTTTCTTTTTATATTTTAAATTGATACATATTTGATATACATGTTTTCAGGTTTATGTGATAATTTGATACATTCATATAATCAAATCAGGGTAATTGGGATATCCATCACCTTAAATATTTATTTTTTCTTTATGCTGGGAACATTCAAATTCTTCTCTTCTAGCTTTTTTGAAATGTGCAATTGATTAATGTTAACTATACTCACCCTACTGATCTATTGAACACCATTTCATGTTTCTTTTTTACATCGGCCCAACTCTATTATGGTAGTAATTGTGTGAAACCCTAGAGTGTGCCCTGCTGTGGAATAATTCTCATATTGGCCTCATCTTATCATTATCTAACTGTGTGTGTGTATGGTTTGATTTCTCTTAGTTTTGGAAAATGGTGTCTCTCTAATCTGTGTATATTTCAGGCTATTCTTTTTTTCTTTTTTCTGAGATGGAGTCTTGCTCTGTTGCCTGGGCTAGAGTGCAGTGGCACGATCTCGGCTCACTGCAACCTCTGCCTCCTATGTTCAAGCGATTCTCCTGCCTCAGTCTTCCAAGTAGCTGGGACTATAGGTGCCCGCCACCATGCCCAGCTAATTTTTGTATTTTTAGTAGAGACAGAGTTTCATCATGTTGGCCAGGCTGGTCTTGAACTCCTGACCTCAGGTGATCTGCCCGCCTTGGCCTCCCAAAGTGCTGGGATTACAGGTGTGAGCCACTGCATCCAGCCTTCAGGCTATTTTTTTTAAAAAGCTTTTTATTTTGAATTAATTTTTGACTTATCCAAAAGTGCAAACATACAACAGAGAGTTCCTGTGTACCCTTCACCCAGTTTTTTTTTTAAATTTTTAATATTGTTCTGTTGAATATGCTTGTGAAAATCACCTAAAATTCTTTTTGAAACAAGTCTCATAGTGAACACTATTTTGAACACTCAGATGTTGTGTGCATCAAAACAAATGGGATGGAAATGACCAATAAGGTTATCTCAGGTAGGGTGATATTGGAAGGATGACCTAGCTTAACACTGAACTGACCCTTCATGTCCCAATAATTTGCTCAAAACTGATTTGATCACAAGCAAATAGGAAGCAAACAATATGTTCCAAAGAAAAGTAGCCAATAGGACAATATGGTTAAAAGTCTTAATTTATGGAAACTGGATTTAAAATATATTAGTAATTAGTATTAATCATGGGATTGAGTCACAACCTTTTATGTGGCTTTAAGCATTTTGTCCACGTATCAGATTTTTCTATTTATAATTATAATAACCCTTAATTTGCTTCTGGCCAATGGAATATTAGTCGAAATTATCAAAAAGTCCAACAGTTTAAAGCTTGCTTATATGTGGTTTATATTGAAAGTTATGAAGCATTGTTATGGCATGATCCTATTTTGCAGGGGGTCAGGGGTGTGTGTGTGTGTGTGTGTGTGTGTGTTTATAAATGTGTATGTATGTGTATGTGTGTAGGCACGTTAAAAACTACCTGACAGGAAATCACTCAAAGTTTCAACCAGGTAGGTGATTTATAATGTCCTTTTTTTTTTTTTGCATATCTGTATTTTCTATTTTTTTAGTTGAGTAACATTGCTTTTATACCAGGGGAAAATTAACAAAGCACTGAAATAATAAAATAAAGCATGGAACAAAATATATAATTCCCAGTTTTAATAGATTTCCCTATTACTTGCTCTTTAGGTTGTTTTAGCAAGTCCAATTTTATTGGTTATTTAGGTTGTTTCAAATATATATTGTTGTTGAACAATTCTCTTTTCCAACTTCTCAGTATTGTAAGAAGCAAATAACATAAATAATTGGCAAAAAAGGAACCAATTGTGACAATCAGACAAAAATGCTGATGACGCACAGAGAACTGCCTCACTACCTTGTGATACATACACACTAAAATTACCAACACTGAAAAACCAGTGATTGTATTCACCCATTTTCAATAAGTATTATTTGTATCAACTGTTCTGTTGACAAAGTTACTTTTAAAATAAAAGTTTTTACAATAAAGTTTAAAGTAAACTATAAGTACTTTTTATTCGGTCAAATTATCTTTTTCATTTAGCCAAATTGTTTTCAGCCAAATTATCTGCTGTAGTTTATGAAATTTGAAACATTTTGACATTTCCAGTCAGGACTTAATGTGCTGATAATTCACAAAAGTCCTGAGATGTGAAGCAAAAAGAAGGCTTTCATCAATCCTGGGGCCAGTCTACTTTCTGGAATATGTGCATCGTACAATATGAGGAATGAGCAAGGGTTATATTCTGCAGAAAGTTATACAGCAAACTAAACAAATGCAGTAACAGGTGTATGGCTCTGGTGGAAGCTTGGTCAAATTGAAACTGGAACAAGAATAAACCTTTCTTTATTTATACTTTAGGTGACAAGGTAGCACATTTGTACATAATAAGGCTGGCCTGGGGATGGAGGGAGTCCCTGCTCTGACTGTGACTCAGTGAGACTGTCTGCCTGGTCCTAGTCCATGAGAAAAGCATGCTATGATCTCACAGAAGCCTGAAGTGACTCTGAAACTTTGCAATAAAAAGAAAATTTCATCCTTTAAGATGCTGAGTTACCAGAGAAGTCACAAGGATAAAATGAATGATGGAGGTTTCTGGCAGATGTTATCACCATATTCATAGCATGTAGCCTTTCGTGTATATTGGGATGGAATGGGTAAGAGACAGGCTTGGGGCTCAGTCTCCTAACTGGTTAGAAACTAAAGATGCCTTGGAGAGGAGAGTTGAGAGTCCATATTTTTCACAGAAATTCTTTTTGAGCCACATTGACATTCCTAAAACATTGCACATACTGATGCTATGGTTTCAGGGTCATTTGGTCTCTAATACCTGCAAACTTTGCCTGCCCCTAGCATAGTTTTAGAGCATTTGTTTAACAACAACACCCCAAACTAAAACCTTACCTGCATAAACCAAGCATATCTGTGGTTTGGAAAACAGGCCAGGAGTTTAGAGTTCTATTTCTAACTATGCAGCTAACTTCCCGAGTGGACTGGAAGAAATCTTTGATTCCTTTGCTCCTTAGTTTCTTCATATTCATCCATCCTTCTGAAAGGTATTCCTTAAGTACCAGGACCCTGTGGATACAAAAATAAATAGAACCTAGTTCCTTTGTCAAGATCCTTGGAATTTAGGGGACAAGACAAACAATAATCAAAGATTGCAATCCAGTGTGGTAAGTTTGTTGTTGGAAGTAGGCACTGAGTGCTAGGGGAGCATAGAGATGGAATGTGAAATCAAGCTTGGAGCTGGGGAGGTGAGTCAGGGACCACATCAAAGGAGTAGTGATATCTTCCTGCAAAGTTAAACTCTGTAAAATGAGAGGGCTTATTAGTGGATCCAGAAGAATATTTAATCTATATTCCTATGTTAATTGAAGAGATGGTAATTTGAGGTCCCTATATATCGAGAAGTTTTTCCAGAGCTGTAAGAAAGAAGCAAAGTTCAAACAAATTTGCCTAATATATCCATGGCTGCTTATCCCTAGAGAGTGGTCTAGCTCTTAAGATCTTTCTAATATGCTCCAAGAAGAAAATATTTGTTCTTGGGACATTCCTGTCACTTAATATATTTGCCTTTAGACATTTGAAGGGTATCTGGCTTTCATAAGAAATCCCGGTTACCTGTGTCACTTTCCTCTCAACAGCCCCTTTCTTTGCACATTTCCTTGTAATCAACTATGAACTCTAGGTTGAATCATTCAAGTGCTGTAATATTCACATGAAAGCAACACCAAACTTTGTCTCCATTTATAGGTTCATGTCAAAGCTGGTTTTTCACTAAATGTCTCTGGTTACCATTTCATTTGATTTTAAAATAATACTTCACTTTTCTAAAAGTTGATCTGTTCCAAGTCTTAACTCATTGTAGACACAGTTATAAAATCATAAGTAGACAAATAATTCTCATTTCTTGCACATACGTTGGTTTCTTCCCAATGTCCACTTTTCCTCTTCTTTTTCCCAAGAGAGTTTCAATTTGTTCCAGGATGGATACTAGTTAGCCAAGGTCAACTTTAAGAATTCTATTCCTTAGTCAGTGATGGACTTAGGAAAGGGCAATTCTGGTCCCTTTGGGAGAAGTCAGCTGGCAAGCCTCTGGAAAAGGTTTCCTTCTCCTAAAAGAGACACAGAAGTTGATGTTCTCTCTCCTTTTTGGGAACATGGGTGCATCTAGATGTGGCCCTGGAACCACAGCAGCCCTATTGCCACCAGCTGGAAGACAAAGCCAACAGTGGGAGAAGACAGAGCTGGTCGAATCCCCCAGGAGTAAAATGTAGCCTGTGGTACCCTTCCTGGACTGTATCCTACTTGGAGTCTTCTTGTTCTGGGAAGCAATAAATTTCTTTGTTGTTTAAGCCATGATGAACCAGTGTTTTCAATTATTTGCAACCAAAAGCATCCTAAACAATAGCCAAGTATGCATGGAAGTTCATGCACTTCTCTCACAGAACATTATGTCAGACATTTAGTTCTAGGAAACAGGCTTATCTGATTTCTCAGTTCGAGGAAGCAGGCTTATCTGATTTCCTAGCTCCTGGCAGATTAGAAATAGCAAGTTAGAAATAGAGAAAGTTAGAGACAGGCAGCTGGACAGAGAAGGGAGAGAAACAAAGGCAGAAACAAGAACTCAAGAGGCAGCATTGTGGAGTTATTTAATGCTGGGGCAAACAAGTTCTCCCATCTCTGTAGCTCTTGTGGGTATGAGAGCATAGTTCAGTGACTAACCCATAATGACAGTCATGTGTCTGTCATCAAAGGAAGTTTGTTTTCTGTTTAAAGTACTCTGTTTCAGAAGGGGGTGAAGCTGAATAGTATTTAAAAATATTTCTTTGTAAACAAGGAAAAGCTTACATGATTAAAAGGATAAGCTTATCTGAAAAGGCACACAGAGAACAAACTCACTCCCTGGCTATGCTAAAAAAAATGAGTGCTAATTATATATGCAAATGAAACCTATTAAAAAGTTTGCTTCATCCAGAGAAAAGGGAAGAAAAAAAAAAACCAGGCAGTAGTTTGATTGCTGCACAGAACAGCTCATTTCAGTTTTGGTCCCCATGAGAAGCCCCAGCAGAGAAGCAAAGCTAAGAAGTGAGGACATGGTGTTGCTCTTCTGCAAGTGACTTTATTTTGGCTCAACGGCTCAGCAAGCCTGCCTAAGCTGTTTCCTCAGAAGCCTGCCAGTAGGAAGTAAATAAGCTGCTTGACTCTACTCATAGAGGGGGTTGAGCACTCCTAATTAAAATGTAAATAATTCTCAGGGCCAACAGCTTGTAGATGAAAATGACTGGAAAGATCACAGAAACTAAAATTGCACCACGCAAAACAGGTTCTAAGTCTTTGTCTACACAAACACTAAGCCTACCAATTGATTTAGTCACCTCCATGAGAAATCACTGAAGCCAAGTTATTTGCAACCATGCACCAGGAACCAGGTAGCTGCTGCTGTACTCTGGTGACACCATGGACTAAAGCGCAGGGTGACTTGCTTACCAAGTCCACGGGGCATGGACAACTCAAAAAACAAGGGCTTTCCGCAATCAGCTGGTGAATCTGTGGTCCCACACAGCTCTGCCCCAAGGGTTAGGATAGCTCCTCCTGCCCAGCCCATCAGAGGTCTGGCCAGAATCTTCCAAGGCTCATATGTGGAAGATGAGCTATCTGGACAGGCGCCACCCAACAGAGTGTTACTTTGGTTTTAAAATCACCCTTCATTTGAGAAGTACCCTGAAACTTTAATATGCAAATAACAGCTAAATAAAAGGAAAAGCCCAATACAGTTTCTAATTACCAACAAATGCATATGTATCTTACACATGGTAGGTACTCAGAATTTTAAAAAATGATTAAGTGATCTATTAACCTGAGTACTACATGAGGGAAACATAAAGAGAATTAAATAATTTTACTAAGAATGAAACTTAAGGCTATTGAATTTAGTGGTTTTCAATGGCATTTTTGTTTTCTTCATGCTAGGATAATGCCATACATGCTAGGATTATCTTACTGGTAAATTACTATTGTTGTTGTTAGACAACATTTTGTCGGCATTCTCCTAAACACTCCACATTCATTATTTCATTTTATTGCCACAATAGCGTGGGTACAATTATTAACTCTAAGGAAAAAAATGAGGCTTAGAGATGCAGAGTAATTTTTCTGAGGACACAGAATGAGGACATGCTGGGTCACCAGGCAAACATAAGTTCATTCCTATGGCACAACTACATATTTACTGATAATAGTTGTACTGAATTTTTTCCAGATTTTCTTTCATTTTTTTTTAAATAGAAGAGACTGAAGATTCTCTCATCTGCATTCTGATATGTTGTTTTCAGGAAGAGAGAAAACTGGAGTCATGCATAGAGGATGGTGAGAAATTATGTATGTTCATCGAGTGTCTCACATGTTTGTCAACAGAAGTGAAAAGATCATGACCCAATTTTAGAGTTACTTATTCAGGCAACTCTATTATAATGAGTTACTTCAACACTATAGTGTTCTCCCATTCTAAATTCTAAAAAAAAAAAATTAATGTTTTTTTTAAATTCTTCTGATGCTTACTTGATTTTTCAGGTTGATTTTTTTGAAAACAGACTTAAACTTTTTTGACATTCTATATTCATTCATTCATTCATTCATTCATTCACTCACGTAATTACTATTCATTGCCTTCACAATGTCTGGACAATTCTGTGAGGGTTAAGACACCAGCAGTTTCTGTTTTTCATACAATCTTTCTTGAAAGTTTCTTTTTTCTTCTTCAATAGCTGGTTTGGGTTCACAAGATATACAGGGTTTGATTTTGATGACCTCCAAATGGGTCCAACCTGCACTGCCTTCTGCATATATAAGGTAGCTCATAACCATGTTTTTGAATACTATGTCTTACTATTTTGTGTGTGTGTGTGTATATATATGTCTTTTGTAATATATGTATGTTACATATATAACATGCATATGTTAGATGTTACAAACACATGCCCAGTGTTACAGCAATACAAGCTTGCTGGGAAAAAAGTATTAAATCACAAGAAGTGTATAAATTTAAAATGAAATATTTCAGAAATTTTATTGCCAGAGGTAATCAGTTTTAAAAGTTTAGTGTTTTATATTCTATATTTTGAAGTTGACTATTTTGTGAATTCATTGCTCTGTTCCCTCCCCCACTTTTGTGTGACCTCTTTCCTTGTTTTTTTATTGGCCCTCTCTGCTCAATTTGATTCCACTTCCTGCAGTTACTCCTCTGGGTGGGCCCCATCCTGCAAGGGAGTTGCTGTTCTCAGGTCTGCTCTTTTGTGGGTCACTTTGTCTCACATCTTTCAGACACCTAGTTACTTCCCTCTTCATTCACCTGATGGACACTGTCTGTGGTTTGCCCCTACCTGCTTTTATTTAGTGGTTTGGGGGGCTATCTTATAGCCAGTTTGGTTGCATATGTTGTTCATGGGAATTTGGGTTTACTATTTCATTGTTCTGTATGTTTTTATGTAAAATACAGAAAGATTCAAAAGCTATGTTACTGTTACTTCCATCTTCTCAGAGTCTCCCTCTACCATGAGACTTCCTTCTTTGAATAACAGGTTAAAGCTAGTGATGGAAGATGATCAATGTTATCCTTAATTGGCCCCAGACTAATTAATATGGTGCTACTTAAGATAATGTTTGCCAACCTTGCATGTACATCAGCAACACCTTAGGACTGTAAAACTGCTGATCCCCAAGAGCTTTCCTGATTTAATTGGTCTGGGGTAGTGTGTTCTCACATGATTCCAGTGTGTTGATAATCACTGATATGAAGAAAACAAAATTAAAGCATTTCAACTCCCTTAGCAATCTACTGAGACTAAGCCAATTACTGTGTGCTCAATCTGCACATTAAGTGTGGTCCCTTTCCTCACTCTAACCCCCTATGTCTCAGGTGAGGCTGACTCATTCTCCAGAAACTAGAGTACCCAAGTCATCCATACATGACCAATCAGTGTACTTCACGCTTGTCCAAGGATAGACATGTCACCCAAGCTGAACCAATACAAAATTTTCCCCATGATATTCGCTAGAGTTACTATGCATCACTC